TTTCGTGTGGGATGGTTGATCAATTGATTCCAATCAATGAGGGAAATATGAAAAACATAAAATATTTATTCAATACAAAAAATATAAATCTATTGAAACAATTCATTCGAATGCATGATTGTCAAAATTCATCACATAACCACCACTCATAAATTACACTTTTATGACACTCATACAAAGTTGAAAGCATGAAATGACGTTGGCTTGAAATGAAAATGGCTTATAAAGAACATGAGACTTTCGTCGCTCGATACACAGATACGAAACATAAATAAAGCAATCCATTAAAGTGGAACAAGGAAATGAAATCCGTAAGAATGAAACATAGCATGTGCCGTTTTAAGTATTTCGCTTTGCGGTGTTCCGTTTTCATAGATAGGTCTGCAGTGTCGTTATGAACGAATCTTCTCGCATTGTGTTATATCACTGGATCTATATAACATTGTTTCGTTACTCGAATATTTTTTAACCGTAGGTGGTTCTACAATAAATTCTGGGTTACTACAATTAATAAAACACTTTGGACCAGTTTTGGAGTCCCTACAAAACAAACTCCCTACAAAAACAAAACACTGCTGTTGTCAAATAAATTGTTGAAAATATCAAGAATCGGACGACTGATTTGAATTCAACATTTTTTCTACAATTTTATGGACCCTAGAAACAATAGAAAAAAGATTTAGTTTGTGGAAAGTTCGATTTGGGGCCAAGATTTGAGTATTACCGATTTTGGACCAATTTTCATGACTCGTCCCGATATCGAACGAACATATTTGAAAACAGACAATTGATTTGAATTCTACAATTTATCTACAATTTTTTGAAACCATTCTCCATTCGAAAAAACATTTGATTCATGGAAAACTCGTTTTTTGACCAAGATTTGAGTATCCCCATTTTGGAGCGGTTTCTCGATAGCCGATTACTCGAAAAAATTGTTCCTACATAAAAAAAGTAAATACACTACATTAAACTACATAAAATCTACAATTGAAATCGCCCTACCCGAAGACATTTCGGCAAATATGCCAAGATTTGAATATTCATCTACTGTATTGTAAGCAGAGAATGTCTACCGATATTCTTATTTATTTGAGTGGCACTTACTAGATATTTTTATATTTTCAACGCGCGATGCTGAGTAACGAAAATTCGCGGAAACAGAGAAACGGAGAGTGAGTATTGCTTAATATCGAGCTTGGCTCTTGTATTCGCAGCCAATTATTTCTCGCAGTTTTACATTGCCAATACATTTCCTAATAAAATATCTAATAAGTGCTACCCAAATAAATAAGAATATTGATAGACATTCTCTGATTGTAAGTTTATCATGTAAACGTTCGCTTAATGGTCCCAGTCCCATGATATATGTTCAAGGGATAAATCTAAAGTGGTCAGATATTTTCCAAATTGGTCTGACAAATATCCAAAATGGGCAGACAAAAAGTCGAATATTGGCCGAAATGTGTGTTCCAATTTAGACAGATAAATTCCCAGAATGGTCAGAAAAAATCTAAAATTGTCAGAAGAATAACAATATACATTTTTTCTAAAAATTTTATATATTTTTCTAAATTGGTCAGATAAATGCCGGTGGCATGGTATCAACATTCGATTTTTGATGGTTGAGCACGAGGGATGCGCCTATCTGTGTAATTTGTTGTTGTAATTTGATAGTTCGAACTCCCACCGCTTACGTGTACAATGCAAATCAAATGTATTTCAGTGTAGCGCTAGTAGCATGTAGTTTGCCTTAGACGCAGCTCTCGGTTGAGCATCACGGAGAGCGCATACTGTGGATTAATGCTAGCATATCGATAACACAATCCGCTGCATAAGTGGACGTGTATTACTCTTTTCTCTCGCTATACGTGTGATGTGGCTGTGAATAAGTGTTCCGGCAACAGCGTACAAAAACGTGCGTTCACCACACACAGGGGCTTGCGTCATCGAGTTACTGGTATTAATCCACAGTATGCGCTATGGATGATGCTCAACCATCCAAAAATGAATGTTTACTTAAAATCCTATCTTTGGCTTTTTTGGTGGTGCCAACAAACTGAATTGAGCTTCCATTTTTTGAGAAAAACGTAGACCAATAAGATTGCTATCTATTTAATTTCTCATCCGTCGAAATAGGTACGAACGTGTCTCTGTCTGATGTGTCCAAAATGTTCAACATGCTCAGTGCGAAAATTTTCCACCAATAATTTGAACAATTGTTGGCAGTGTTTGTCATATTGCATGAATACGAAATCGGTGGTCGAAATACCACATGATGTGCAACTTGATAGTTCACGATCGCACGATACACAAAATCCACCTTTGGGAAAGCCAATAGATGTATTACAACAGGCCCAACTGTAATCTACTATTTTCTTCTGAGGTCTTCCCAAGCACATCAATCGCACACTTATCACGTCGTGTGATATGCTTCGCTTGTATATAGTATAGTGATTAATGAATATGATCGAGGAGCCGTTGCTAAATACCTCATTCAAGCGATGCACATCACACAACGTGTGAAGCGTATGGCGGATGTGCTTGGGTTATATATCTTTTCACCTAGAAAATTGTCTCTGTTTCGAAAAAAAATACTGGTAATTTAATAATGTTTCTCAAGAGCCACTTTCTTTTGATCTCTTCCACAAACTGTAGAGCCCAAATCTCAACGAAGGCTAAAACGCCTATGCGGATCACGTGTTTCTCTATTCTATAGTCAACTTTTGGGAATCTTTTTTCTTATTGTTCGCTTGGTAATATTCTTTTTTGAAAAGAGCTTGGCAAGCTTGTTGATTGAATTAATTTCGTTCGAAACAATTTCCAACGTACTGGTGCAATACCGAAATAATTTTCAACAATGCGACTTGCTCTCGAGAGGCAAAATCGTTCTATTGGTGAAACGTTAAACTACCAATAGATTGTTTCAAATGTATTGTTAATTTCAGTACAAGTGAGAAATTTCGTTTACTGATACTACGAAAGTGACTTGCGTTTTGCGTTGTGCCATTTGTAATTTACCAATACATTTGAACCAATCTATTGGTTTGACGTTTTACCAATAGAATTTGCAGGCTTCACCGATTCTTTTCTCTTTGTGCGATAGTTGTAAATTATATTTAAAATATTTTCATTTTAATAAAATGGTATTTCCCGCGTCTTTGAGTAACAAACTCTGTTCCTCTAGCCTGATCGATTTAAATTAATCGGAGATGTCGATAAATAAGATTACTTCTCTTATTCCGTTCGTGTCACCCAATGTAATATAACGTTATAGCATAGTATTTACGGCGCTGCGGAATACCGCCTGGGGAAATTGGACCTGTTTTCAGGGAAGCATCTTCTTCAAATCGTCTGGTGCATTACAGTTCAAATAGGAAAATATGTAAAATGCATTGCTTCAAAGCCACATAGATTGGGAAAGAGTTTCATACCTGTTACAGCAAAGAATCGTGCTTTCTACAGATGTACTAAATTGAATGTTTTCTATGACGCCATCTGGTTGTCGATACTAATGTCTTCAGAAGATTTTATTTATTTTTTACATTTGATTTTCAAATATTAAACTTGATGATGACAATTTTTCCACTCTTATGTTCTAGGCATTTTGCATGCAAAAAGTCGAAATAACTGCGATTTTCTTTTCTAAATTGGATTTATGAATGAAAAACTGATTTTGTATAAAATTGGATAAACAATAAATAAAATCTTCATCAAAACCGTGCGAGAAGATATTAGTATCACCAACCAGATGGCGACATAGAAAACATTCAATTTAGTACATCTGTCAAAAAGCACGAAAAGGTATTAAGTACTTTGTTTGTTTCTTCAGCACTTCTCCTACGCTTTTGTGCTCCTTCAGCCTGGCGCCTTCTTATAGCTGTTCGTTCCAGGCAGATCTTGAAATGTGCTTTGTCAATTGTTTTGTGCGAAGTATTTCACGCATTTGATAGATTCTTCTTCCGATTCATCGTTCAGACTGGATTATAAATCCTGCTGTTGATCAGTACACAAATGTGTTTTATTCTCCTAACCAAGAAGACGTAGCAGATTACACAGGTGATTAAGGAATTCGACAATATTTAAAAAGCCCAGAAGTTTCACTCAACGCGAATAAATCTTCATAAATGGGGAAACTAACGATTTAACTTTGAATAAAATGGTGTGGTTAACATTTCATGTGTTGATGTCGAAAAAATTGTAGATTTCCAAATATGAGTCGAGCAACGATTTGAACAATAACAGTGAAGACGAATATAATGTATCTGATTAGAATACAGAACATAGATTTGGTGACAATTTGTTTGACCAAAATGATGTGGAATATAAATCCGTTCAAAGGGAAGTCGATTGCGAACCACAAGGCGACAACGGGCCAAATTTTTACAAAAATGGCGATGATTCGGTCTCTATGATCACAACAACTTGTTTCGCTAGTTTCAGTCGCTTTAACTATCATCAGTAGTTGACTGTACCTTTGAGTTCATTTGTGTGGATGGCCTTAAAAGTCGATCCGATTTTAGATGTTTCTATTTTTGATTTTAAGCGCGGGACAGACTTTGGAGCTGCCACAATTTTTTTCACTCGTTTTTTTTCTTTTTGAATACTTGGAAATGAGAAAAAAAAACTTTTTATGCTCTATACTGTCAAAATTTTCCACATTTTCGTGTTGGTATTTCTGATTTTCGTGTTGGAATTCCATACAATATTACCGGATCTCCGTTTATTGCATAAGAGACGTTTGTCGATTCTATTATTCTCGGATTCTGGATGTCACCGCTGCATCACAACGCCACTTATACAATGACTTGCGTCGTCGATATGCTCGGATATATCCGCTGCATACGAAATGCTGAGATGTTAAACCATCCGGAAACGTATGTTTGTTTGCTAATGAAAATAAAGTGTGTGTTTTATCAGCCTTAAGAAGTCTTTTTCTGAATGAAAACCGAAAAGGACTCATTTGTTTCTAGTTTGTTTTCATATAATGAAATGAACTACTAATAATAGGGCGTTTTTGGGCGCTTTGGTGGAGTTTCGCCACGTTTTGTCCACTCTTTCGATTGCTGACTTGACTCATGTGTGTAGAAATGAATCCATGTTTCATCCGTCGTTATGATTCGTCGCAAAAATTCATTCGGATTGCGGTTAAAAAGAGCCAAATTGCGCTTGGAAGTGGTCACACGAATCCGTTTTTCATGGATTGACAGCGAACGCGGCACCCATCGTGCGCACAACTTATTCATATTCAAATGATTATGCAATATGTTGACCACCCGTTCATATGAGACGTTAACGGCCTTAACTATCTCACGCACTTTGATTTTCGGCTCATCCAATACCAGATCGTGTATTTTACCGATCATTTCTGGAGTAGTCACCTCAATTGGACGACCTGGACTTGGAATCGTTTCGGTGCTCGTACGACCGCACTTAAATTCGGTAAACCACTTGTGAATAGTTCCAATTGATGGGAAAGAGTCCGGATAATACTTATCAAGCTTCGTTTTGGTTTCGGTGATGGTTTTTCCACGCAAAAAATAGTGTTTTATCAACATACGAAATTCACTTTTTTCCATGTTTACAAAAAATTTCGGAGGTTTGTTGCTACCAAGCGCAATAACTCGTGAGCTAATGAATGGATTTGGCTCATCAATTTTGACAGCTGTCTTATAAAAGATGCCTCTTGTCAAATATGGTAAGGATTTGATATTAGTGGCGCCCTCTCTTTGATTTTTCATGTCATTATCAATCCGCCTAGTACATCACAATATATGGATTGGATGTATTGGATAAATGACATAGTATGCCATTGGCATACACAGTACAATAAAGCTCGGGTCACTTGAAATCAGCAAAGATCCGAAAGCACAGCTACACGGCATGACGCGAAAGTACTCCTCAGAACTAGAAACCATTTGGGTAGCTATGCTTTCGGATCTTAGTTGATTTTTAGTGACCTGAAATTTGTTCCACTGTGATATACACGAACCTAGCGAGTAAACACAAACACTTTTTCCATGTTCGGTTCTTGTTATAACAGATCTGTATTCCCATTTTTATGCTCAGCCAATTAATTATTATTTAAGCCAATGGTTCTTTTAACGACTGATGGGACTATTGATGTATTTGGTCCATACCAAGCTAACGAAAACGATACAAAAGAGTTTATAGATGTATTCGAAAGATATGGTCAAAATCTATTTGGAGGTAAATGATAAATTATTGGGTGTATAACTTTGCTTCCGCCGTTTTCCAACAGATGGCTCCAGCGGTAAGTGCTGGTGAAGAATATCAGCTCTAAAACGTCATACGGTAAGCTTGGGCATCTCTCAACAATTCTGCATCATCACATTTGTAAATTTTTATCTGCATCATAAATTTTATTGTGCTCAAAAATGTCCGAGTTGGTGCCAAAAAACAGAATTTGCGGGAGCAGTTTTTTTCATACGGGAAAAATGTGAAAAATAGATTATTCTTTTATCGAGTGAAGAATGGACGTTTCTCGATAGACACATGTATATCAAACCACATTTTGATTGTGGTTACTTGTCATTATAGAGGGCGCCACAATCACTCCCTCGAAAAAGGGTGATTTTCCATATTTGCGGGGGTGGAGCAGATATGGTGCATTGGAAGGTGGTAGAAACTTATCAAAATGTTAGCTTTTATCGTTCCCAACAGAAACTAATCGGTATATACCAATTTCTGACAGCAAAATCGAAAAATTGACTTATACGCAAAATAAGCGAATTTTTGTGGAAATTTTTTTAATGACTTTTTGGCTATCAAGTCCAAAATTTCTAAGAAGCTATTAATTTTGAAAATCCTTTATGCCCCCAGTAGGGTGTCAATGAGACTTCTGGACCAAAAATGATAAGAGGTCATTGACGCGGGGTCAAAGTCGTTGGCTATGACACGGGGTCAATGACAATGACAATGGCAATGACAATGGTATAAAAGAACAATAGGGTCAAAATCTATTGTCCGTAAGATCGTATTGTTTATGATCATTCGGATCTGTATATACCTGCTTTATTTTAAAAAAAATGTGAACCGCCTCTTGCGAGTAGAATTGGTGTTTAGATTTACGGTGACGTTTCAATGGGGCACGTGGTGTAGCATTTTCATTGAATCCCATTGAGTTGAATTGGAATTAACGTGTTGAATTGAAATTAACAACGCATTCTTATTGGAATTAACGCGTTGAATTGGAATTAACAACGCATTCTCGTTGGAATTGACGCGTTGAATCAGAATTAACAACGCATTCTCATTGGAATTGACGCGTTGAATTGGAATTAACAAACGCATTCTCATTGAATTAAGCGTGACGTTTCAATGGAAATTGGATAATGGTAAAAAGGGGTGAGACGAAAAATGAAAAATAAATGAATAAAAAACAATTTTTGCAGAAAATTGTGTTTTATTCATTTATTATTCACTTTTTTCGGCCATACCTTTTTACCATTATCCAATTTCCATTGAAACATTAAGATGAGTGCAAAATAAAAAACCCGGCGTTTCAACGAAACAACGACATAAATTCCAAGAGCAGAATTCTGAAAAAATGAGTAAAAATACATTTTTTGTTTAATTTGAAAATCGATAAGTTTTATTTAAATGCACACTTAATTTTGGGGTACAATGGATTTAATTGATTTAATAATGGTACATGTGTAGTCAACTACGGTCATCGTTTTCGGTTTGAGTATCTTTATGTCTACGTGTTCTTATATTCGGATGAACACCTGCGCTGGTGAGAAGTAAAAGTGAAGAAAAAGGTTCATCGTTAAACAATAAAAAGGAACAATAGAAAAAAAGGAACAATAGAAAAAAGGAACAATAGAAGAAGGAACAATAGAAAAAGGAACAATAGAAAAAGTAACAATAGAAAAAGGGACAATAGGATCAAAATCTATTGTCCGTAAGATCGTATTGTTTATGATCATTCGCACCCGACACTCGTTTATACCTGCTTTATTTCAAAAATATGTCCCGACTCTCGTAATTCTCCAATGATTGAGTTGATCTCTTGCGAGTGGTTGGTGTTTCCAGCACCTCGCGATGCGACTAATAGGCGCAGACGATCGCAAAGTTCATTTGGATCGTCATAAAATTCATATCCAATGTTTTCTTTGTATGGGATAAAATCGGCTTCGATCCCTCCACCTTTTTTCTCTTTATCTTTTCGCCCTGGTGTGCGATCATGCACCGTCTTTATCACAGGTAAATTTCTTGGTACCGGTGGGACAATTGAGCGGTATAGAAGGTGATCCTTTGTTAAAAATGGCATGTTTATTGCCGGCATTTTCCCAACATGATAGGGTATTTTCTGCTTACTACGCCATTT